TATTCAATTACTTTAAAAAATGTCCGCTTATTTCCAGTGTGAATAGACTTCAGCTTCAGGTCAATTAAATCTTGTTATGTCCCCTGTTGGATAAATAGAAATGCCACCCAAAAATGTGGGTACTTTGACTGGGATCAAGCCTTTCCTTAGCTTTCTCTTTCTTAAAGTCATGGAGCAAGCGGTATCTGTCTATAAGCCAGGATTTCTGGTTCCAGTCCTGCTTCCTCAGAAATCACTTGAGGGTCTAACATTGTTCTTGAAATGGAGGTGCTAACACTGAACACACGATAAAAGTAGCAGTGCGGTCCCCTTCTACACAGTATTTCTGCCTGCAAGTATAAGAACGCCAGTAGTATTTTTTTCTATAGCATTGTGTTGGGAGTGTGCCTTCACCTGATGATCCCCGTGGCCCCTAAATCCTTTTTTGACTTGCCGCTTCCTAACATAATCCCACATCAGGTGTGTTTGGCCTTTGGTTCTTCAACAGAAGACCTTATGTTTGGCTCTTTTGAATTGTTTAATGTTTGCTTGAATCTAGCTTACAAATTGATCCAGATTACTGTGTAATAGTAACCCTTTTGTTATTTGCCCAGTTTGTGCATCATGTACAAACTTCTACCAGTGACTTTTTTTTCAGGTCCTTGATAAAAATATTCTATAATGCAGAGGCAAGAACTGACTTTTCTAGAACTTCACCAGACTACAGAAATACTGAATGATGATTCTTTTCTTTTAGGGCCCTACCATGTTTTTTGGTTTTAAAGTATGGCAAAGTTGATTGATATAATTATTGTTTAAGCAAAATGTTGTGCAGTATAAGTATATGTTTATGACAGCCTGTTACAATGTTACATTCAGCAATCAGTATTGTAGTATCACTGTGTTTTCCCCCAAACAATATGAGATTAATGTGACCAGATCTATTTTTGCCCTGTTTTTGCATTTTCTGGAGTAATTTGCTTTTGTCCACTTAAAAGATGGGACTTTGTTCTTATATAGTAAGGCCATTTGTATATTTTTATTATAATAAATCCACACTGAGTGATTATGCTAATTGCACAGTGTGTGTGATGTGCAATGCAAGGAGACTTTGGGCTAGTGGATCTTCTCTTTCCATGTGCCAAATATCTGTCCTTCATCCTCTGAGGGTCTTCACAAAAGTAGGTGCCCATGGAAACAAACCAGTGGTAGATACAGGAGTGAGAACAGTGAGGAGAATATGATTTACGGGTAGTGGCAGTAGAGGAACAGAAATTGTGTCATTTCTGAGCAATATTTTTCCAAATTCATTTTTCCGTGGATGTGGTAAGATTGGTCAATATACCAGGGCATGGTAAATGCAAAGCTGTATTGCTTCATGGCGCATTAAGTGTCTGGTTCTGTTTTTAGGAAGAAGTATCAAAAGGTGCTAGCCAGTGTTGTTATAATCCAAAAGAACTACCGAGCATACTTCTGGAAGAAGAGCCTGCTGCGACTGAAGGCCTCTGCAGTCACCCTGCAGAAGCACTGGCGTGGCCGCCTGGCTCGCAGCCTCTACCAGCACCTGCTGCAGCAGGAACTCAGGCGGAAGCAGGAAGCGGAGGAGAGAAGGAGGCAAGAAGAGGAAGAACAGATCAGAAGAGAGGAAGAGGAAAGACAGTGGCAAGAAGAGGAGGCGCGTAGGAGGAAACAGGAAGAGGTGAAGGAAAGGTACAAGATGGTGTCTTGCACTCACAGTTCCCTACCACTAAAGCTCTGCTGAGGTGTAAAAGCGGGTCTGGGGTGCTGGCATGATGGTAACAATGGAACAGCAATTGCATGAGACAGTGTCCCAATGCTAGGGAGCAGGGTTGGGGTGGACTGTGGGCAGCTCAGAATAGAAAAGCAGAGTGGAAAAGGAGTGTCCTGCTTCCTTTAGGAAAGCTAATTCTGGTGTATTTTTACCTCTGTTTGGTGTTTTTCTGCTTTGGAATGTACATGAAAGGAGGCAGTTTCACTGACTGGGCAGAGACGCATAATTTTCTTATTGCCTTTGCAGTGGTAAAGGAAGTTTTATGCAGTCTTCCAAAATCTGGAGGGATTAGCAGTGTGAGAAGGTACCCGAGTTCATGGGTCTTGGTGTGTCTAGTAAGCTGGGTCAGAGAGCAAGATGGGCAGTGCACCTGTGCTGCTACTGCAGTTCTTATGCTCATGAGAATACATGTCCTCTCCCTGTTCCTGCTGCTGTGTATCTCTCATCAGGGATACAGATGTGTCAAGAGGTCAGGAGGGGAAAGGAAAAGCTAATGTGACAAAAAGAGACAATCTGTGAGCAGTGACAGTACACCTGTTGAGAATCCTGTACCTCATGCATCGTTTACTGTTCGCTCCATGGTTACCTACGTCTTTTCCAAACTGGGTGTCTCTCTTGATAATTTTTTGTTTTAAGACGCATAAAACTTCAACTACGAGATTATTATATAAGTTTGAACAAATAATCCTGTGACATTTTAAGTTTTTCATAAATAGTTGGTTACGTTTCTTACAGGCTTTTGTTACATACTTGTCCCAAAGTTGGATCTTGGCAGGCTAAGATGTGTGACAAGCATCAGAAAATTCAAGGTTAGAAGCATGTCACAAGGAAAAGAGATTGCCTGCGGATTCACTGGAGACAGTAGGGTGATGTATCTGCTGGGACAAGACATGGAGTCAGTGACACCAATGATGAACAGTTTGGTCAAGGAATCTGTTGAACAACACTGAAGGCTCCATTTTATCGATGTGACAATTTTCAACAACAGCCTCATCAGCAACATGAAGCTGTGCAAGTTCAGAATGTCAGTAACTAGTTTGCAGATATCAAATGCTACAAGACACTCTCTCAGGTCTAAAGTCCTCATTGTACTAAGCTGAGCTTGTCCCTACCTAGTTTTAGATAAAATGACCTATTTAGCTTATTTGTTCTAGTGTGTTTCTGCCCCTGCCCTTTAGTTCCCAGCCCATGAAAGATGTGTTGAACCCAGCATTATTGTAAAGAAGTGTCAGTGTTTCTAGGAATCAGGTGAACTGCTCATTTTGCTTTCATTCTCCACTTGATGTCAAATGGCTTCATTCAGAGTGAGTAGCCAAAAAGGTACTAGCAGACCAACTTGGCTAAATCCTGAACTTCCATTTGACCTCAAAAATGAGGTGGAAGTCCACAGAAATTGCAAATCAGTTAATCTACTGAGAATAAGGAAAAAAACCCAGCACACACGCAGAGACAAAATTAGAAGGACCAAGATGCAAACTGAGCTATAACGAACTAAAAGTTTGTGTGCAGTTATTGTGCATACACTGTTAGTAAAAGGGAGACATGGAGCAATTTGGTCTACTGTTCAACAGGAAGAAAAAATTATAATGTTGAGAAAGCTGAGGTATTTGATGATATTTTTATTTGTCTTCCCCAAAAGGCTGAGCTGTTGGACACTAAATACAATTAGCACAGATGTGCAAGAATTCAGAACCTAGCAGGGAAATAAAAAGTTAGAGAATGCTCAGATAAATCAGATTACAAAGAAGTAATCCAGACTTGGTGAAATTAATGTTTGGGTACTTCGAGAACTGGCTGAAGCAGTTTGAATCAGTAGCTATTCTCTTTCTCCTCCTTTGTGGATAGCAATGGAGTTTCCATAAAACTGGAAAATTCCAAACATAATGACCCCCTTTTAAAATGGGAAAAGGAAGAACGAGGGAATTGTGGACCAGTCAGCCTAAGCTCAATTTCAGGAAGATACTGAAACAAATAATCAAACAGTTGTAAATGCATGATAAAGGAGTTAAGAGCCAATGTGGATTTCTGAAGAACAAACAGCATTAAAGTTACCTGTTTCCTTCTGTGATAGCTGATGACATGCCTTGTGAATAGGGAAAAGCCATAGAGGGTAGGTAACTTGACTTTGAGTAGGTAAGGGCTTTTGACATGTCATGGCAATACTCTAAGACACTATAAGGAACGTGGTTTGGAAAAAAGTAGATGAAACAAGACTAGGATTTATGGGTTTACTGCATTGTATTATTGCATTTTAATTAGTAAACAATAGTAGTTTTTTGTTAAATAGGAGACAACTCTTGAATGGGATTCTTCCATGGTCTGTGCTGGATATGGTACTAGTGCTATGTTTTCATAATAAGCTGAATGAGGAAATATGAGTATCCTTATTAAATTTGCAGATAAAACCATCTGGTGAGGGGCTGTAAGTATATAGCTAGACAGGATTACAATTCAAATAATTTTGGCAAATTAAAGAAATGGTCTGAAAAACATAGGATAACATTCAATACAGACATATGCAGATCTACAGTTAGGAATAATCAAATGCACAGAGAGAGAAGGAGGAATGCCTGCTTCAACAGCAGGAAGAAGGTCTGGAGGCTAAGTTGAGTATTAGTCAGCAGTGTCGTGCTGTGTGAGAGGAGAAAGCAAATGCCGTCTATAAACAAGATTGTTTCTGTAAGATGTGGGGTGATTCTTCTGTTCTGCTTGGCACTGGTAAGGCTTCAGTTGGAGTACTGTCCCTAGTTTAGGGTATCACATTTCAGGAAGAGTGTGGATCAGTTGGAGATGGATGGAAAGCAGCAAGAAATATCAGGGGTCTAAAAAATGTGAGGAACAGTTGCAGGAATTAGTGTGTAGACTGTAGGTGGTATTCCTGATTTGTTTTAAAATGGCTCTGCTTCTTGAACCTTCATATCATTTAAGGCAGTTGTTTAACTCATGACTACTATTAGAGATCTTTCAGTAGATTTGGAACCATCTGGATCTCACTTATGTCAGCTTCATTTATAAACGTTCCCTGGATTTTTTTTTTGAGAGAGAGAGCAAGAGTGGGAGCTTTAAGGACTTTGTGACTTGCAACTGCAATTTAGAATTTGGCTGCGAAAAGCCACAGGGCCTGGGAAATAAATATTGTTGCCCTCCTGTTCGGCTTGAGGTTGAATCATAGATTTGAAAGTTACCACTGCCAGTCTGAATTTAGCTGCACAGTGGTTGCTACAGGCAGACTCTTCCATCCAGCCACATCCTATCCCTGCTCCCTATGCATGACCCTGGCATTTGTCTGTCTCCTTGTTCAGCTGCTTGTGGCGCACTCGCTATGGAGAAACTGGACATAGTGACAGCTTTCCCTTGGAGTACAACCTTTTTGATCTGAGTGGAGATGCAGCACTGTGGGATAGTTTTTTTTCCCTCTACTCATGTTTACTAACAAACTCTGACTCTTACAGCCTTTACTAGTAAACTAGGTTTTGCATGCCACTGAGAAGTTAATGCAAGCTGGAGTATCCAGGTCTTCAGAATAGAAAGTCCTCAGCTTAGTCATTTAACAAAGTACAAAAATTCAATAACTTTTTGGGAGCTTTAATACAGTAAAAGCAAAACAAAACACAAATTCAATGCTGGTATTGCAATAATTCCATTCTGTTTTAAAAAAAAACCAAACACAATTTCCCAATATCTGTCAATTATGCATGTACAACCTCATTTAATATCCATGGACATAAAGTACTTCAGAAGATTCTGTTTACATTTATCATGGGTCTAACTGATCTGCCTTTCTGTCACTGTTTCCAATGTCCTTCCTAGTGTGTTCCAACTAATCCAATTTCCTGATTGATCTGAAAGTTAAGCACATGGGGAAAATCTGTTATATCCACAAAGGTCATGCCAACCACAGAGAATTGGATTTTTACTAAATTACAAAAGCTTTTAAATCAGTCTTACAACAGGTACCTTATTTTAACCTTATCCATGGAAGGATGATGTGTCCATGTAATTCTAAAAGCCTCATGTAGGAGTCAGTCTGTCTCTGACTATCATGTCTTGTTTTTTAACAGAGAAAAGGAGCAACTGAATGCGCTACTCCAGGTGGCTCAGGTAAGTTTAACAGTTATTCTTTTCATATGTCTTCTCTGAGTATCTGTGAAGGGTCCTTCATTGCCTATGCTTCGCCTGGAGCTAATATTGTTATTGTGGCAACACTATTTAAAAAATGGGCTTTGTTCACTCAAAACCTGCAGGTGTTTGGCTTTGGCAGAGGTGCATAGAGTTAACAAGGTGGGTTTTTTTCAAGGCTTGTGTACCAGCTTGCATAGTTCCTATTTGAAAATTTATGTATTGAACACGTAGCATCCTTTTTTGTCTCTACTGATTGAGCTTATTACATGACCTTGTGATGTGCTACTCTGTGTCACAGTCTGTTTTGCTGGATTGTTGCCTGTAACAGCAAAAATAAGAGTACAGACGGCTGCTACCATGGCTAAAATAAACCCCTTGTAACTGATCTAATTGTTTGTTGGTACTTGAGATATCAAAGAGCAGACCACCTACCCTGAGGTGTGTGAAAACAGCTGTGTATCTTCTTATTTCTTTTTCCAAACCATTTGTTCCCCGGTTTCAGGCCAGCTCTGTTCAGGAGAGATGACAGATTAGAGTATAAAAATGCATTTGTCCACAAGTAAGTCAAGTAGAGAACAAGCAACAGGGTAACTGTAAAGAAAACAAGGATTGTGGCTTAAGCAGGTCAATTCATTGCCTGCATTGTCATACTCCTATCAGGAAGCACATTAAATCCTTTTGGAATTTATTTTTGCTTTTTCTTGTCTGTGTATGTTTTCAGCATCCTCCACGGAGGGGAGGGTGGCTTTATCTTATAGCTAAATGTCAGTGAAAGTTACCCAGTATCTTCCGTCTTCTAATTATAATGTACTTGCTAGAAATTTCCTGTTACTTCAGTGTGGAGAATAGAGGAAGACAGAGCCTTCAGCAGCCGGCTAGCCATCATCCGTCCAGTGATGCTAAAGAATGCCGATGGAGTTTTGATGGGGTGGGGTTGGAGTGGATACAGTCCTGCTTCATTGCAAATATCCCTTCCAGACCTAGATTCTGATAGTCAGACCCCCAGCTCAGGAAGCAACAAAATCCACAAATGTTTTAATGAATTTCTGGGAAATCTTCAGCTCGTAAGCAAGCTATGCATATATGTATTCGTATATCGTTGCTTTCTCCTATATGTGTGTATGTGTGTGAGATAGTTCAAAAAGAGAGGACGGACTTTCAGAATGCTTTTATCCAAATTGTAGTGTACAAAGGGCTGTAACATGAGCAGCAGACAGAGAGGCTTTTCTAAAAATTCGCTGATCCCAGTGAGCTACTTTGTACGATTCAGAAAGGAGGTAGGCTGCTGGAAAAAGGGAGGTTACCTGAAGATCCCGTAGTTCTACCTTCAGCTTTTGCACCATGGATGATTGCAGATGCTGATCAGAAAAGGAGAGGATGCTTAGAGTCATCTTTTTGCAGATGGGAAGTACAAGGCAAGCACAGGAGGTAGGAAGAATGAAAGGCCCAGGCAAGGAACACATTTAGGTTGAAGAAACTGCTTTAACACTATTATAAATTCTTTAAGGTGGAAGCAGTAAAGACTGAGGAGGTAGATATTCCCCTGCAAGAAGAAGAGAGACGTCAGATGGAGGAGATCTTAAGACTGGAGAAGGAGATTGAGAAGTTGCAGCAACAGAAAGAGGATCACATGTCTATCATCTGTGAAAACACCAGGAATGAAATCAATCGGCAGCGAGAAGAAGAGATCCAGAGGCTGGAAAAGGAGGCATCTAGGGTTGCCCAGGAGTTCTTGGAGCTGCTGGATTTTGGCAATCTGGATGAAAGTGTGCAGAACTTAGAGCGCTCACTTTCTAGTGAGGGGACACTCAACATTGAGTGCAGCCTAGTGGCACCACTAGCTGAGGAAGAAGTGGATGAGGGTTTTCATGCTGATGATGAAGGACGGCCAACTTCCAGTTTGGTGGTCTTGAATCAGCACGGCACAAGAAACAGCGATAACTACTCAGAGGAAGGTGCGGACACAAGCCTTTCACTTCTCCAAAGGGAAGTGGGAGAGGTTGTCTCTGCTCCAGGACAACCTGTGGAAAGAACCACAAGCCCCAAGGAGCAGAGAGCCCTATCTGACCCAGCAGAAAGCATTTACAGCACTGTCTCAGATACGCAGAGGAGTAACAGCGGAGAGGTGGGAGAGCCGATTTACACTTCCCCCCCGGATGTGGAGTCTGACTATGACCATGAGGAGTTTGATGGCTGTGGAGACGCAGGTAGCGCCTCAGCTGAGCCCCTGAACGGTGAGGAAGGTTTGAGACACTCCCATGGTACCAGCCTGGACTCCAACCGTGGCAGCCTGGACTCGGTAAGAATCCCTCCCTTCACCTTTCTGGACATTAGCGTGACTTTGTTGATATTTATAACATCCTTGCCTTCTTACTGTATGCCTGCTTGCTCTGGGTATTGTTACTAATATATAACTCTCTCTTACATCAATAATCAGCTTGAAAAAAAGCGAAGACTCATAGATAGGCTGAAGGCCAGAGGGCTTGTGACTGTCCAGTGTTACCGGTACAAAAGCTAGCACATATGTACCTAGGCTATTTTAGATTGTTTCCATCACCATATATTAACGTAACACCCTTTAGGAAGACTGAAAGCAGGCATCTAGTATCTTGTAGGTATATGTTCTACCTTAGAGAGATTTCACAGAAGTAGCCTGAGCTTCTAGTGGACAGTCACAAGAGGAAATGGGAAAGGCTGGGGTTTGATTTGTTTCCATCACTAAAACTTCTCTTGTTCTAGTCCTGTTACTGTTCAGAGTCAAGAGTTTATTTTCAGCTGCTGTGTACAAGTTAAGCTATTCTAAGGCTTGAAGAAATTACTGTGCTGATCCAGGCTGGGTACTGGTGCACACAACCAAGACCACTGAACCTTTTCATTCCTACCGCAGTGTCATGGTTTAACCCGGCAGGCAGCTCAACACCACACAGCAGTTCGCTCACTCCCCCTCCCCCCAGTGGGATGGGGGAGAGAAACGGGAAAAAAAAAGTAAAATTCGTGGGTTGAGATAAAGACAGTTTAATAGGACAGAAAAGGAAGGGATCGTAATAACAATAATAATGATAAAAGAATATACAAAATAAGTGATGCACAATGCAATTGCTCACCACCCGCCAACCGATGCCCAGCCAGTTCCTGAGCAGCAGTCACCACCCCCTGGCCAACTCCCCCCAGTTTATATACTGAGCATGATGTCATATGGTACGGAATATACCAGTTTGGGCCAGTTTGGGTCAGCTGTCCTGGCCGTGCACCCTCCCAGCTTCTCGCTGGCAGGGCACGAGAAGATGAAAAGCCCTTGACTAGTGTAAGCACTACTTAGCAACAACTAAAACATCGGTGTGTTATCAACGTTATTCTCATACTAAATCCAAAACACAGCACTGTACCAGCTACTAGGAAGAAAATTAACTCTATCCCAGCCGAAACCAGGACACACAGGGACAATGACAGGGTAGTAAAGCTGGGCTATTAGCCTCGCACTTGAAGCATTTCAGCTTAGATGCCACACTAGGCTCTGGACTTCCTGAGTGCCCTCAGGCTAGTTGCTTAATAATGCAACGATAAATCCCCTTACAGAACAGGATGTCAGATAAGCCCACATGAGACTGTGAGGAGTTCAGGTGTGAAGCCAATGACAGCCATGAAAATACTTCAGATAAATGATGTCCCTGAGAATAAAGACTTGAACTACAAATATCTTTTAGAAAATGATTGATTTTGGGGGTTTTTTTTTAAGGAATTCATTTTACTTCCTTTGCTGTTCTTTTCCAATGGCAGATTATGACCCTTCTTAAAAAGTTGCATGATTTTTCCTGTTTGCATTTCCCTAATGTTAGCTACCAGCCATCAGAATTTTTTATGATGTGATCTGCTTGAGTAAACGTACCTTCTTTGTGGGCAGGAACTCACAGATCACTGTCAGGTAATCTTTAAGTCATGAATCATTCTGTCACAGCCTAGGCCAGTTTCTACCATTCTTCTTAAAATGTAAATAGAAGTGGAGGACTTTATTGGGCTCCTCAGTGAGTAAGACTCATGAAAAATCCGGTTGATACTATGTCATGGCATGAGCCACAGGAAGAGATAACTGCAGCTGGGTCAAGATCCCATCAGTAGCTGCTGATCCAAGAGTACCTGCTTTTTGAAACTTAATTGCAAGAGAGGGAGAATGAATGAGTGGAACAGGAATGAGACAAAAGAGGAGCGCAAAGGCGTCACAGAGAGAGGACAGAAGGGAAAAATGAAAAGAAGCAACATGCATCTGAGGAAGGAAAAGGTCTAAGGAACTGCCTTTCTTAGTAGGAAGTTGTATTTAAGGTAAAGGAAATGATAGGGTAATTTGGGATTTCATGTGTGAAGTACTTTCTTATGGCTGAGGGCCATAATCTAGTTGAAGAACAGGGATGAGTAAATACTGTACTATTATTTCAGTAATTTAGATCTTTGTTTTTAGGGTTCAGTTATCCTGGAATGTGCTTTTTTTCCTAATCAACCGAAAGCAAGGCATTTCCTTACTGGGGTTAGATTAGTGCTCCATCTTGTCCAGCATCTTGGCATGTCTGCCAAAAAAATCAGAAAAATCCTCCGAAATGAAAAATTCTCTCTTAATCCCATTAAATCAGATTTTGGACTGTGGGCTCTGCCTTGAAACAGGAAGGTTTGTTACTGCAGGTAACTGGAGTTTTCTAGCCACATCCACTGCTGAATGTCACTCTCCTTTCTGGTATGAAAATTCCATGCTCTGGAGACTCTTGCTTTAGGCATTAATGGGTAAGCTGTCAAGCCTCTAGTTTTACTGTATTGCTTTTTTTGTAAAGGGAGTATGTGTCGTTTCGCACCTTCTGATCATGTGACTTCTCTGGCCTTGTTACTTTGCTCCAGTCCTCCTGTGACCAGGAGAACCCAAGTAGCCTGTATTTCTTCTTTTTCTTTTAGTTTCTGGACAGTGAAGAAGAAGTGGATGTTTACATTGATACAGATGAAGAGTTTTGTAATGGACGAGTCACTATCTTCAATGGCTCAGGACCACCCTATTTTCACAGCTATCTCTACATGAAGGGTAAGCGGCTTTAGCCAAAGCTATGGAAGGATGGAATCCAGGAAACCTGCTTTCCTCTTCTGTTTCTCCAGAATCATTGTCTTCATCTGCTCTTAGATCTCTGTTTACTCTCTCTTCTTCTTTTCTTCTTTTATTTAAAACAAGCAAATAAAACAAAGAGCTAGGAAGTGGATGACAGGGAATTAGACTGGATATCTTTGCCACTGAGACCTAATTGTGCCTACTTGGTATGGGCTTAAATGACTCATTCTGAGCTACAAAACTGAAGACAATACAAAAATATTTGAGTAGTGCATATATTTCTATATTTTGTGTTTGTTTCACTAGCTTGTTCTGTTTTTTCTCTGTCCAAACTTAAGCATAACCTTGTTTCTCTCCCTCAGCTCCTTTGTTTCATGTTAGGAACTGAAGTGGCAACTAAGTGCCCATGAAGCAGGATCAGAATGGAAACGTGGCTCTTGTTGCATGTCTGATGAAACCTTGCTCCCTCGCTTTGCAGGAGGTCTCATGAACCCATGGAGGCGGCGCTGGTGTGTTCTGAAGAACGAGGCCTTCATGTGGTTCCGCACCAAGCAAGAGGCACTGAAGTCAGGCTGGCTCTATAAAAAAGGTGGAGGCATGTCAACACTTTCACGCCGCAACTGGAAACGCCGTTGGTTTGTGCTTCGAGAATCCAAGCTGATGTACTTTGAGAATGATAGCGAGGAAAAGCTGAAGGGGACAATTGATATCAGAAGGGCAAAGTGAGTGAAGAATAAATCCTTTTGAACCCTAGTATTCACTCTCTAAATCAATAATGATGCCAGTTTATTGGCCTACATATTTCCCATAGGGCTGGGAGAACCAGAAATGTAAGGGAAGGAAAAGACAATTAGAGCTTCTAGTTTTAGTCTGGAGGGAGTCTGGAATTACTTGGTAGTTCTTTTTCCAGTCTTGCATTTCATAATCTGGCAGAAGCTCTTTCCAAGCCATGGATGGAGCCAGACCAGGAGGGGCTAATTAAGTACATACCTCATGCATTCTCCCCTACCCTGACTCCATCTGTTTCCTGGCTTCTCCAGGCATTTCACAGAGGTGGTATGAACCTCACAGCGGGATTTGAATTTGGCAGCATGTACTATGCCTTTTCCTGAGCCCTGAGTACTCTTTTTGCTGCCGTAGCCAATTCCTCAGCTCCTGCTGTAAGAAGGGAGAGCCTAGTCACCTATTAGCATCATGTGGGCCTGTAAAGTGCCAAAAAGAGTGGCACACCCCACTTTGTAAACAGCCCTCTATATCAACTTCCCTGTTATCTCTTCTTCCATCTAGTCTGCTGGTGTCTTGAAGAAAACCACCTTAAGCTTTGCTTTTGTAGTAGATTAACTTTACAAATCTTTTTAAGGGGACCCTAAAAGTCTTAATGTCTATTAGAGGAATTTTGTATTTCTGTCAGAGTTACAAGCCATCTGAACCAGTGATTTCCCTTCTGTATGGTGAATGGCTCGATGTGAAAAAAAATTGGCCAGGTGGAATTTATGCCTGTGAAAGGTTTTCAGTTTTGGCTCTTGTGATTTGCTGTGTTGCAGGGAGATTGTGGACATTCATGAAAAGGAGAATGCCTTGGACATTGTGACAGAAGACAGAGTATATCACATTGTCGCAGAGTCACCAGAAGATGCCAGGTAAAAGAGGGAGTTTTGTTAGGTTTGTTCATTCAGTGCAGGTCTGACCCAACTACTCATGGGAGAGCCTGGGAAACATAATCAATTCCCTTTTGCTGGAGGAAAGAGGGGATTTGTTCCAGAGTGTCATTTTGTGCTTACTGGGAGGTACTTTGGGGACTCCCTGTTGCAGCTACTGAGATGGTGGTTCATCCTATCAGTCAGTCACAGGACTGCCACCTTCTTATGTGGCTGTGAGCATGCTGAATTCAAGGGTTACTTCAGGAGACACACAAAACCTTAATATAAACTGTAACATCTAATAGCTGATTTATTTATTAAATGGAATCTTAAATCAAACAAAAACTCTATTCATGTTGTCTGTAAATGATTGCGAGAGCAGCTGGGTTTTATCCAGGAGACAGAGAAAAGGCTGCAGCTTATCAGAGTCTGTAGTGTCATCTGATAAAATCTTCCCAGTGCAAAGCAAACAAATGACTCATGTCCTTCCTTCTTGCTGTCCTCGCCAGGCAGTGGGAATCAGTTGTTTAATGGCAGGTTGGACAACCTGTTCTGGCTATGCAAAGCCAAGTTAAGAGGTTACTGTCCTTAGATGCTCATGTCTTCCCACTTTTCCCGCTCTTATCAAGGCTTCTGCTCTCTCAGCCCAGCCACCGTAACTGTTTCTCTGATCTACTTTAATCTGATTCTGTGAAGTTATTTAGAGTCTGTTGTTACTTCATTTGGGTGTAGGGAGAGGAAGGGGGAAAGTAACAGAAATACACTAAAGAACAGTCACATGAACAAGAAACAGGCCAAATTCAAAGGGTAGTAGCTGAAGAAACAGTAACTTCCTAACCCAGAACTTCACCAACTGGAATAGGCATGCCCTAAGATAACATTGCAGAATTACTAGGGCAAGCGCAAACCAAATGTGGCCTCTGTCAATGCCATATCAGTCTCTGTTCTGAGGGAGAAGAAAGCACCAACGCTTGCATTAGCAAAGGGCAGATTAGCAGATGTTGTAGGGTATCCAATTTGACAATCCTCCATGAAGTCTAGATGTTTGCTGATCTCACTGGAAGCTGCAGATAAGAATCTGCTTGTTCTGCAACAGAGATTAGCCTCCAGATATGTCTGTAACGAGAAGCCCTTTCACAGACAAATAACTCCCAATTAACTTATAAAAAAAACCATGATTAACTGACAGCCATATGACTTTCAAGTTTATGAGCAGATCAGAGAGAGACTAGTTAAGAAGGCTCCCAGGCATCTGTAGGACTCTAGTCCAGGAAGATTCCCAACTGACCCAGTCTTCACAACTGCTGTATGCTCTTCTCAGTCTGCTGACCTGTGCTCCCTGGTGAGGCCACTGCCTGCTTACAGTTCCTTGAATAGCAAGTAGAAAACTGGATTTTGCGGGAGCAGCTGTCAGTGGGTTGGAGAACGTGCACAGAATTTTCATGGATAAATAAGGAGGAAGGAAGACTAATTAAAGTCTGGTATGATCAGCCCAAGAGATATTTTGTAGCATAGTCCTCAGGAAATTGTGAATGAAGAAATTTTCCCACAGGCAGCTTTCCAGGTTCCTTGATCATATTCTAGAGCTAGCTTCACTACCCAGATCTTAACTTTGAGTCTGTTTTGATTGCCAGCGGTTGGTTTAATGTCCTGAGCCGAGTACACAGCGCTACAGCACAGCAGCTGAGGGAAATGCAAGACGAACAGGCCAATCCAAAGAATGCTGTGGTAAGTTACTGTGCAACCAGTCTGTGGGCATGTTTAGAGCCCTCTGTGTTTAACTATTTTGTGCATGTTTGTCCAGCACTTGCAGTGCTGTAGTTCATGAGCAGTATAAGAAAGTTGGACGATTATTATAAAGAAACAGCAAAGCTGATAGAAAAGAGGGTAAGCAGTGGGGAACATAGTGGTTGTGGTGGGTGGCTCAGCTTGATCACCAATGGCTCTCCTCTTTGGTTTGGAGGGGAGGGGGGGGCTGATAAAACGCAGATGCAGATAAAATGTCTTTGGATGGAATTATGGGACTAATTCCAGAACTGGGTCACAGTTATTCCAGACAGAAGACACGCAGTTGGGAAGAATAGGGTATTTATGTGTTTTGCTAGTACTGAGATATGGAGGCAGAGGTCATTTTAGACCTTCATAATGATCTCTGGAAATTTGTAGCTCTTTTTTCTCCAGTCTTGTGGAGCCTTTGCACATCTTCTCATGCTGTTTAGGGAGCAAAGATGACTCACTCGTGCCTTTCTCATATGTTCATTTCTACTCAAGCTATTGGAATTCAGAAGAATGTTTTCAGTTCCAATCCTATTCATGAAGGAGAATGTCTGTAATTTAAGATGCAAGCAATTCCTGTTATCTGTGTCTCTCTCACTGTACAGGGAACCCTGGATGTTGGGCTTATTGACTCTGTCTGTGCCTCAGACAATCCCGATAGGTAGGTACAGCAATCTCACCATCTCTTAGATTGGAAACTCTCTGACACATTTTTGTGGGTAGGTCCAGGTTTTGTTTGGGGTTTGCATTTGTTTAAACTCATAAGAATTTATCTCCAAACAAACAAACTCAACTGACATCTTCAGGTTGTTTCAAGCTATGTCACTTCATAGGCATGAAGTTCACGAGTGTATTTTCTGAGTGAGAGTTTAGATACTCCATTCCATCTTAAAAGTGAGAACAGCATAATCTCAATGTCAAGAAATTATGGTCTTACCTATTATTAACACTGAACAAAAATGTCCAGCAAAAGCAGCACTTCCAGTTTTTCAACAGCGTAATTTCGAGTTTATCTTGTAAATTTAGGGAAAAAAACAACATTGTGGAAGAATAATGGATGAATGTAAAAATCTGTACTTTTCTTGAAATCTTTGCAATGCAACAAGCACAGATCTTTAGTTCACAGATTGGTTAGTTTCAGAGAAGAGATTATGGGACATTTCATATCACTTTACGTTAACATTTAATTATTTCCTACAGTGTTAACAGGTTCAGCCAGGGCAAAGCTTCTCGCTACAGTGCTGAAGTAAAATGTTAGCTATTATGTTATTTACCTCTATGGTCTGGTTTTTTTCTCACAGGTTGCCGGGACTTTGGGGTTACTAGCTTAGAAAATGCATATCTCAGTAACAAACTTAAGATTTCATTGATCAAAATATTTTAGCCAGTTCTCAGCCTGGACTCCTCATAGTTAATCTGTGTCCCAGTAAAAAAACTAGGCACAAATAGTAAGCTGAAGAGTCAAACCTTGTTCATGCACCTGCTGAGTACCAATGTTTGAATCAAAGTTAAACAAATTCTGAGGAGACTGCTTATTTTTCAACCAATGTTTTTATGCAGCTTATTTTAATATTCCATAGGTTTATGCAGTGGCTTGATTTGCACCTTTTACCTTTGCTTCATACTTGCATTCTACTTTTCAATTTCTCTGTTTTCTCATAGAAATCTGTGTTTGCTTTCAAAGCTTTCTGAGTCTATCCTCTTGGAACTGGTCATACTTTTATTTTTCCATTTTCCTGTAAAGCATCAATTCTGTGCAGAATTGTGAATATTCTTTTGGTAGGACACATTTGTCTGTTGCAAGAGAAGGGCAAATTCATCTAGGAGCAACATAACAGTTTTTCCTCTGTTTTGTCAGGATCGGCTCATTCTTTCTAAAACCAGTCTCAAACCCATTTTAGCTGACCCTGCTGGGACCTACGTTCGCTGCTGCATCACTGGTTTTAATAAGTACAAGGAGAATGGCTGTACTAGCTCAGCCCAGTGGTACTAGCACTAGCTCAGTCCAATCAGAAGGTAGAACAAAGTCCTTTGCTTATGAACCCAGGACATTTTACAGCTGGGCATTAGCTAATTAATGTTTTCTAGTCTTTGGAAATAGCTTTTGAAAGATATTTAATTCCATTTATCTGGTCTCTGCATTCATCAGTTTGCAGACCAGCTGCACAGGTCTGCAAGTGTTTCTACATTTCTCTGTAGTTTGTATTCAGAGAATCTTTTCTGCATTGTTTATGGGAAGGTAGAGGACATGGCTTTGGGTGAGTTGAGATATTTGTACGGTTACGACCAATTTTAATGTTTTTATTTTCTGGCAGACCAAATTCTTTTGTGATCATCACAGCAAATCGAGTGATTCACTGCAACAGCGACACCCCTGAGGAGATGCATCACTGGATTTCCCTGCTGCAGAAACCAAAAGGCGAATCTAAGGTTGATGGCCAGGAATTCCTTGTGAGAGGTAAAAGGAAATAAATGCAATTATGACATGTGAAACTCATCTTCCATTTATAATCTGAGGGGGAGGTTTGATTGTAGCTAATCCAATTTAGGGTTTAGCTGCTCCCCAAAAACAATCTTTTTCTGCCCCCCCCTACACCTTCCAGTCTGCTGCTTGCCACGTCCTGTGTTATGCTGGCACTGGCTCTTATCTGATTCCCTGTCAGGTGGATTCAGAAAGCCAAAGCTGGAAAAAAATAAGTACTTCTTTATATGTTTAGTTTTCTGATGTTAGTTCCATAGCCTATTTCAACATGTCCAGCAAATGCTGTCAGGAATAGGAGGGAGCATGGCTGTTCTTTAGGAGCAGCTGGCTTAGAGTGACTATAACATGACACTGCAGCTTTTGTTTTCAGAAAGCTCTGTTCCTTCTGACACCTGTCATGTAGAGAGGGAGGGAGAGAGATCTTTGTGGGATTGCTGCTGTCCTCAGCTAAACAAACTAACCTGATTCTGGTAGACACAGTGAGGTGAGAGTAATTCTCTGAGGCTGAGCAAAAGATTTAGATTATGTCTCTAGTTAGAGCTTAGTTGGAGATGGAGGAGCTGATGCATGAGTAGTGATCACACACATATTACAAAATATTCCCCCATTTGTCTCAAATATTTTTAAATTTCCTTAGCACTTCCAGCTCATCACATGGTCTTAAATGTACGAAGACACTCCTGATCCAATCTGTGGAAAGGAAGTGCATGAGCAAATTGCCTTACATCTTCCAGAAAGTATCTATGAGGGAATAAAGGTCTGAGAGTGGCCATGGCAAGGCAGGAGGGCAGGAAGAAAAGGATCACCAAAAAGTGGCATGAGCCTTCCATCCTAGTCTTAAACATTACAAGGAGACTGAGTGATATAAAGCAGATTATCAGACAACAGTTTGAGTACCTTAAATTCAAAATACTTAGTTGCAAGGCAACAGTTCCTTTCATCTCATATTGTTCATTAATGAAACAAAAAAAGGAATGCTCCTTTGCAAAGTCAATGTATGCTCTGCACTTCACAGTAAGATATCTGTGTGACAGCGGTGTAGCCACGAAGTCATATATTCAGGAAGGTCTGCCTCTTTATCTTTTCTTTATATGGAACCTCTGGGCTCAGTCCCACATTCTTTGAACTTTTTGCCTTGTGGGTGGACATTGCTTTTTACAGCTCTGAATAGAAAATTGTCTTTTTGACAGTTTTAGCAATGCAGACTGTCATTTTTTTATAGTATTGAATTTTCTTTTCTTTTTGTTTTTCTTTTGTGAGGAATCTAAAATGAGAAAGAAATTATTTTGTCTGACCTCGGGAGGAAGAGATGCATGTAATGCTTACAGACCTCTCTACTAGAAGACATGTATCACCAAACCTCTTCCATCAAGGTTTGGATAGGCATTTGGCATCTCTTTGGAAGAATAATTGTAAATTATTTGTTCAGATGTTTGTGACTTGTGAGGGAAGCATCCTGAATAGAGGATGCCCTCATGGTGATGGCAAACTAAACCACAGATCGTTGATAAAAAAATACATAGAGCTGAAGGATGGAACAGCTCTGTGGAAAATTTTGGGCTAATTTCTTACAGTGACTGTGCAGGATACCGCTATAGCGAGTGCAGAGCTGGTAGGTCCCAGCTAGAGGTGCAGAGGTGGAGCTCTGGTCCCAGAGTTAGAGAGCTACCAGGCAAGAGACAGGATTGCTGTGGTGGTGAAAGACAACCATTGACATGTTTGTGTTCCTGTGCTAGGCTGGCTTCATAAAGAGGTTCAGAGTAGCAACAAGATGTCCTCTCTGAAGATGAAGAAACGCTGGTTTGTTCTGACAAACACTGCCCTCGATTACTACAAGTCATCTGAGCGCACAGCTGCCAAGCTTGGCACGCTTGTGCTCAATAGCCTGTGCTCCGTAGTGCAGCCCGATGAGAGGGTCTTCAAAGACACAGGTAAGAGGAAGAAAGTGATAATGAGCAGACTTTCCACATGTGGAGTTGCCTGAAGAGGGGACGGTGCCGGAATGTAATAGTGTGTCATGTTGAGAAGGTGGTCTTGATGTTATCTGAGGCTCCATGTCTGGCTGCAAACATCTTTCCCCCCAGAAACTGTAAGAGACGTGCAAAGGGCCAGAGAGTACTGTGCAAGTGACAGTAAGTCCCTCACACCTGACGGAGATACACAGTGCTGATGTTTTTTCACTGGGTAGTGTCACTGTTTATCTAAGGGTTTCCCAAACAGGGAAAGGGGTATGAGTTCTTACAGTTGACGCTGTAATTATCAGTACATCTCCATAAATAACTGCCACTTTGTAGCACGACCTACATTTGTCTCTGGGGTCAGTGTTATTCTCTTAAATAACAGCAATGGCATACACTGTAAGTCTTTTTTGTAGCATCACCCAACTTGTTAGAAACAAAAGATGACAAGGGACTATGTTCACTTTCTGTGCAGCGTGACATAGTTCTGGGAAGGCAGAATCCGGCATGATCCTCCATTGCTTGCCTTACGAGTTTGGGAGAGAACTCGGGTTATGAGGCGAAGGGTGAATCCCCTGACAAAGAAGGTGAACCTTAGAACAAGACTTGAAATACTGGACATTTGAGTAGTGGAATTACTTGGGATATTTTTAAAAAGGGCTGGAAGCATTTAGTAAAGTGAGATGAGGGGAAATTTATTCTGCTCACTTCCAAGAAATCGTCCACGTTTTTGATCTCAACAGACATCTAGGGCTGCCTTTAGCAGAGTGAACTGTCATCGCCCTGACTTGTTCTCTCAGTTTATGTCAAACACATTATTTTTAAAAGTTACAAGAATTGATTTGGCAATCTGACCGGGTGCTGTGCTTAGAGTGATTGTGCTGTGTTTAGTGTGTTTAGATGTTCTGTGATTAATAGCACAGCGTAGCCCAAACCCTGTCTGTGAAAGTGAGCTGCCTGGTTGGCAGGGAAGTATTCATGTTACACTGCAAGATACTTGTATCTTGGAAAGCTGTCTTTGTACCAAAACCTGGATT